ATCTGTAGGCATAAAGCAACATAGACTTATTCTCTAACATTTCTGGGAAGCCACAAGTTCAACACTTTGTTTTTAACTAGGCTAAAACCAAGGCCGCATGCCCAATACAGTTTGTATACAGAACCTGGTCCTTGCCTCTGCAGCTTCTGCTGACAGCCAGTGCTTCTGTACTTGTGGCTGCCTCCCATCACAAGCGACTTTAAGTCTTCTTGTACACCATTCTTACATAACCTTGCTGTGCCCGTGTGCCATTAAAAAATCCCCCTCAGCCTTTCTCTTCAATTGGGTACACAGGATAACATTTCATGTCTGAGGAGCCGACCCAGGGGAACCTCAGCTGATCATCTTTGCAAAGACTTTGTTGTACAATACAACATTCAGCATTCATAGGGGTAATGGATTACATCTGATGTCTTCAGGCCTCCAGAGATGTCTAGCAGCTCTGGAAATCCCTTTGCAGGATAGAGACATGTATTTTGAACTTCTGATTGCCCCTCTGGCAGGGTCAGCCTTAAAGAACTCAGCGAATGCTTTTGTGACTGTGTGTGCATAGCAGGTGCTGCTTCTGCCTTCCCTCTCAGCTCCAACCTCAAAGAGGAAAAAAACGTCAGGGCTCCAGTTTCCTCCATGTAAGTGGCTTCCCATTCTTTCCCTCCTCAGAAACCACAGGAAGCTCCTCATTAGAGGCTGCCACTCCACATGCTGCTGGGCACCTCCCAGGGTCAGCTTGCAGGGCCATCCCCCTGCTGCAGAGCATGCAGTCAGTCCGCTCTTACTGTCTGAGAGTCAGAGCAGGCTGGGCTGCAGCCTGGTGGCTCTCTCTTCTTCCATGACTCCAAATAGGAAGACAAGGTGGGATGAGGGCGTGGGTGGGTGGGGTGGGTGGAGAGACTGACATTAGCCTGTTTCTCTCAAAGGTACCATTCAGGAGATTGGCTCGGAGCACAGGAAGTCCTTCAGCCCTGACTGTCTCCACAGTTCCACAGTTGTTACAGTTTCTCCCTGCTTGGGAAAAAAAAAAGGTGAGTCTTAACCTTCTTCCTTGCCCCCATAATCTCTCACCCAGCCACATCTTGGTCCCTGGTCTTAGTCTCAGGAGGTCAGTAGGGAACCCCGGGCCTGGAGTCTTTGCCCCTTAACCTGGGAGCACTCTGCCCAGATCTGAATGGCCTGGGTTTCACACCTGCTCTGCTTGGTAGCTGAGGCCTCCTCTCCCTCCCCGTGTAGGAACAAGGGGCTGATAGAGCGGGATGCTGTCAGGGATTTGTAGGTGGGGGAGGATTCTCCTCTCTCCTTGTGCCTAGTGCAGCCAGGGAGGTCCAAAGAGCAAGCAAGACAACCATGTCTAACTCTGAGAGCAAAGACAGGATCTTAGAGGCCCATATATGGCTTACCCCAGAGTCTAGAGCAAGTCTGGCTCTTACTAGTCTTAGGTGGAACTGGGCATGCATCTGGGCCACCTATCCTCCTCTGCTGTGCCATATGAACCCAGAGAAGCCATGCCACTAGACTGTGGAGCTACAGTAAGCTGAGGCTATTTGGGACATGTGTGATTGCTGGTGGGGATTTTGTTTTGAGAGTACATAACAGCCTCTATGAAGCTCATCAAAGGGACAACATGATTCATTCTGTAGAAAACCTACACAAGCGAGTCCCTTTCCAGCTTCCTTGCTAGGCCTCCCTAATGGAAGGACACAGCTTTTCAGTGGAGGGAAAGAATGTATACAATGTGACTTCTCTGTGTGCTTGCAAAGTGTCTAAATGCCTTCAGAGAGATTTACTGACCTACAGAAATAGGAACAAAAGCTAAGCCTCATCCAGCCATGAGCCCAGGCTGTGACATTTGAAAATGGAGCTCCGGTGTTTGAATGTATCAGGCAAGACTCTGACAATTCCACAGCTTACTTTTGTTAAAAATGTGGCCTTTTAAAAAAGCATATAAGTGGGCAAGGTGGTGGTGGTGGCGCATGCTTTTAATCCCAGCACTTTGGAGGCAGAGGCAGGTACAACTCTGAGTTTGAGGACAGCCAGGACTGCACAGAGAAGCTCTGTCTTGATCTCACCCCCACCCCCAGATTTAGTGGTGCGTACCTGTAATCCCAGCCCTTGGAAAGGCTAAGGCAGGAGAATTATAGTTTTAAGTCCTTCTTGGACCTCCCAAGTGCAAGGTAATCCTGGGCAACTCAGTGAGACCCTGTAAAAATGCAGAAAGAGCTGGAGTTGTAGCTTGGTGGTAGAGCATTTGCCTGGAAAGTGTGGGGCCCCTTGGTTCAATCTCCAGCACTACAACAAACAAACAAAACAACAACAACAAAATGAAAGAGAAAAGAAAGGTTGATACAGCCTAGATCATGGGGAAATGAGAATTCTGACACACTTCAGCAAAATTTAGCAACTTTAAAATTTTAAATGCATATTCCCTTGATTTGGTAATTTCTTTTACAGAAAAGACTCTTTAAAAACAACCAGGGCACCTTTAAACACAGCACTTGGGAGGCAGAGGCAAGAGGACATCTGTGAGTTCAAGGCCAGCCTGGTCTACAGAGCAAGTTCCAGGATAGCCAGGGCTACACAGAGAAACCCTGTCTTGAAAAGAAAAAAAAAATGTGTAGCTACTCTATTTTAATATTTCTATTCCTGATTATTCAATTTATCTATTTTCTTTTTGAGACAGTCTTAATCAGTAGCCTTAATCTGTAGTAACACATTTTAAAATTCAAACCTAAATGCTCATAATTGGGGATTAAAGATGTTATAGTTGGACGCTATAGCATTCACTTGAATGCTGGGCTCGCTGTGACTGTCTAAAAAGTGATTATATTGGCCAATATGTCTTAGGGTTTTGTGGTGGAGAAGAAACACCATGACCAATATAACTCATATAAAAGAAAACATTTCATTGGGGCTGGCTTACAGTTACAGAAGTTTAGTCCATTATCATCATGGCAGTAAGCAGGACAGTATGTAGGCAGACATGGTCTAGGAAGAGATTCTTTTCTATGTTGGGCAGAGCCTGAGCATAGAGTCTCAAAGCCCACCCCCACAGTGACACAGAAGGTCACACCTCCTCCAACAAGGCCACACCTCCTAATAGTGTCACTTCCCATGGGCCAAGCATATTCAAAGCACCACACTATATTAACTATGATGGTATATAGATATAAGCATATACAATTATATAGTATGCTTACATTCATGTTCATATACATAGCTATGAATTGCCCAATAAGTTAAGAGTCTTGGTTTGTAGAACGGGGATCTCAATGCCTATAAACACAATTGACGAGTAGATGGCAGATTGTGTGGATAGCAACAGATTACCAACATATCAAAATTCTAACATTTATTTTAGGCAGATGATAGTTCTCATTTAGGCCTTTTCTTCCTATGACTTTTTTTTTTTTTTTTTGGTAACAGTTGTTCTCTATGCAAGAGGGAAAATCCGACCACTTCAAACAGGTGCTGCGGGATTCCTGCAAATATTCTTTAGCCAGAACATCCATTTTTAGCCAGTAACAAACCACAGAATAAAGACAACAGTTGAAGGACATCACTCAGAACTGGGGTTGGCTGATAATTTACCCTCTAACCTAGAATACTTTGGGGTGTGTAAGGAGAAGCTAATTTTTGCTCATGGTTTGAACAGCTTGAGCCTCTGGTATCTGAGACACCTATTGCCTAATCTGAGTGACTGTTCCCTTCTCTCTGTCTAGGAATGCCCAGCGCTGGAGCTTGGGTTGGGTCTACCAAGATGAGAAGCTTCTGTGTCTCTATAATGTGGTTGTAACTGTTATGGAGCCTTGAAAAACTCATCTTTCTCACCTTGGATCAGCACAGCCCTAATTTTAAGATTTTTTTTTTTTCTTGAAAGAAGTGCTATTTGTTTTGAGACAGGGTCTCATGTATCCCAGGATGACCTTGACCTTCTCGTGACAACATCTGGTCCACGCAGTGCCGGGATTCCAACCCATGTTCTTCTGCAGGCAGGAGAAGCACTCAACGGACAGCCTCATCTCCAGCCCTTGGAAGTCAGACCAACTGAAACCATTGTATTTTTACCCACGTCACATGACTTCACATCGTGATTGTATCCCTGAGGCCCTACAGAATTCTCTCACCCCTATGTGGACCACCCTCAGGACTTGCCTGCTGTCCACTGAAGGCTGTCACTATGGGAAACTACCGTCTCTGTGTCTCAGCCTGGTTATAAAGGTAGCCACTGCCCCCCCCCCCGCCCTGCCCCCCGTCTGCAGTGCTGGGCCACCATGTCCCCATCTATTTATATCAGTGAGGCATGTCCTACTCCGATCAGGTTTCTCCTCTCCCAAGCCTTGGCTGCTCAGAGTGGCCACCATCCCACTCAGGCCCTGTATCATTTATCTTCTATGTATCAGGCAAGGGGAGCCAGTCTGCTTTTCCAGTTCTAGAAAACGAGGTTGTTATTCCCTGAGATCCCCCAGGCTGATCTAACTGGGGTAGTTATATGACATGACATTACAAGAGACAATTCCTTCAGTAGATCAGTATCTGAATGCCAGAATACTTACTTAGGAAAAATTATGTACTGTTATGTTTTTTTTTCTTTTTCCTTTGTTTAAAACAAGGTCTTGATACATAGCCCAGGGTTGCCTTGAACTTGTGATGTTTCTGTCTCAGTCTCCCAAATGCTGAAATTTCACACAAGGGTCAATAAAGGCCTCTTAATAGATGCAATCACTATGGTCTTTCTCTCCTAAAATTCCATGAGGTGGGTCACAGTAAAGACAGAGAACAAGGTGAAAACAGAGCAGTGGGAGTCGGGGTTTGTGTAGATGGAGCTGTGCAGGTACAAGGGATGACCCCTGGGGCAGGTTGAGCTCACCCTCCTGGTGGTATGGTTCCCACCTCACAATGGTATTTTACTCATAATTTGATTCTCCCAGGATACAAAGCGACATGGAGCCCATCCGGTGATTGATGCTCCAATACCCTCCTCTCACGAGAATCCAGCCAATCCTGGGGCTCCATCACTGCCAGAGCAGAGCGGACAGCTCAATCAATCCTGGGTCAATCTGTAATTGAAACCACACATGCTGGCCCTCCTCACTGTCAAATTTATTAAGCTGATGTATGTCAGTGTCTCCTCCTGGTCCAGTGTAGGGTGAGTCAAGCAACATTAGAACCAAGGCCATCTTATTATTCCATGACCCAAGGCATTGTATCTCCCGAACATGAGAGAGTTCTTGGGAAATAGCCAACTTAAACACTTTCCTGGAGACTGCTCTGTACTCCACAGAGCACTCTCCCTGTGTGGTCACAGGGAGAGTGACTCCTGATCTAGCAAACAGTAAAACTCTCAGTGGAGCTGGTGACTCATGCAAAGTCATCGATGACGCCGTCCCTCCTCTGGTCCTTCTAGTCCATCGTGAGCCTTAGAGAGTTTGCAGATTCCTGATGCCACCTCATAGCCATTTGCCAGGCAGGTTGTCGTGAGAAATCTACAATGCCTGTGACATGAATAGCAGAGAGAAGAGGCACAGTGCACTGCAGTAGCGTTGGCCATGCGTTTGATATCTAGGAGATTGGGGAAAATGATGGGAAGGAGCGTCCCTGATACACTCAATTTCATCATCCACGAATTGGCGATAAGAGCTGCCTGTAGGGCTGTGCCTAAGCACTGAGCCGTCCCCCATTTGGACTAGGAAAGCAATGGTCTACAAGTAACCCGGCACCAGAAGATGTTGTCCTTACACGGCTATGTCCCCTTTCATTCCACAGGCACCTTCCAATCTATAGCAGCATTTGGATCTTCAAATGCTGTCAGTGAGCAAGGTTTAGGTCTCCCTAGTTGTAGCGGTTGGGTGTGATCAAAGAAGCTCATGGTGGCAAAGCTGTTGCTGAGGCTGGACGTTCAGTATCTGAAAATGCAAAGAAGAGAAAGGGAGGCTGCCACTAGCACCTCGATAACATCAGGCTCTCCAAACCCACCTCCATCACTGTGGCCCATGGAGGTTGCCTAGAGCTCAGGGAAAGATGTTTATCCAGTTTACATTGGCTTCTATAGATGAGGAGAGAATCTCCCCCGGGCCCCAACACACACACACACACACACACACACACACACACACACACACCTGTTACATTATCCCAACAGTCTCCAGACCTGGTGGCAAGCATTTCCTAAAGGAAGACAACTGGACAGACCATGGCTGAAAGACCGATGCCTACATGAGGATTAAAATGTCTGACCCCGGATCAAATGAGGAATGAGCAAGACAAGCTCTACCCATAGAGACTGGGACTTGACCCTCTGCTCTGACTGCTTCGTGGTCTCAAAGTCTCCAGGCATGTTCCCTGTCATGTGCCTGTGCTCAGGGCCTGCTCCTTGAGAGAGTGTGGAGCAGGCATGAGGAAAAGGTGTCAGGAGGTGCTGGCCGCTGGGTAGCAGCTGCCTTCTGCATCTCAGCATAGGCCTTTCTCACCCGTGATGGTGTCATCTCAGCACAGGGCTGATGTGAGAGAAGGCTAGGTGCTCCCGCCCTTCTAAGTGCTCAACCTGAGTGACTCAATCTAACTATCAATCTAAGTGAGACTTAATGCCCTAAGTCACAGTTGTGGAAAGGACTTTTTAATGAAAAGCTTGAATCTGGAAATGAAACGCAGTACAGAAAGCCTTCTAACTGGGCACTGGGTATGAGTGAGTCTACAACCATCTGGAGGTCACTCCAACAGGCCCTCTTCTGGAGGTCACTCCAGCAGGCCCTCTTCTGGAGGTCACTCCAGCAGGCCCTCTTCTGGCTGCTGAAGGGTTGGCTGAATGCCACAGACCTATCTGCTTCTCTCCCCTCTCTCTTAGAGCCTCTCTTAGAGCCCAAACACCCAGCACCACCTGAGGCCTAGTTCTTTCTCTCTTTTAGCCATGGCCCAGCTTCTTCTTCTGGAATGAGCATCAGATAGGCATGTCCAAGTCCACCTCCTTATCTTACTACTTACTCCTCTAGCTAGCTAGGGGCTGTCCTTTTGGACATTAGAAGATAACACATCTCCTCAGGTCATAGATACTTAGTTTGGAAAACTCACTTTGGGAGAATCTTTGACAAGATTCATGTTGGCTGTGGCTACTGGGGCTGGGTTTTCGGGCCCATTTGCAGGGGGTAGGGTACGTTTCCCAGGAAGATCTTTGATAGGGCCTATCTCCACAGTGAATGCTGCCACAGGTCACACATTACACTGTCATATAAAGAGAAGGGCCTGCATACATGCTATGAAAGCAAGACGTGGGTATGGCTGGAGTAATGACAACACTGTGGCCGAGTGCAGGGAAAAGGCCACTCGAGACAGGACAGAGAGGGGAACTCTGACTCCACAATGCTGGGCAAGTGTGTGATGGATCCCTGAAGTGTGTAGTGCTGAAGGTAAAACATTAACCTTTTACACTATATTTGCGAGGCAGAATCTTGCTATGTAGCCCAGGCTGGCCTGGAACTCACAATTCTGCTGCCTCAGCCTCCCAAGGATCCCTAGGGAAATACACTTTTTTTTTTTTTTGCCTTATATCTTCATCAAAAGAACCGTATCTAAATGTGAAACAAAAACCTGCCAAGCATAAAGAGAAACAGTAAGAAAAGACCCATGGCCATGAGGAAGGGCAGCTTCCTTAAGTAAGACATGAAACAGAAGGCTCCAAGGAGAAGTCCCGGATATCTAAGTACTTTGGAAAAGACAATTAACAGGGAGAAGTGGCAGAGTCTCCAAGCAGGCAGGATGCTGTACGTCTGGGAGGCATAGAACATTCCTTCCAATCAACACAAAGGCCTCAAAATGCCAACAACAAATCAACAGACGCAGCAGTTCAAAGAGGGAGAATAAAGTGCACATTAAAAATGCTTGAAGACACCCAAAATGAGGGAAACGCAAGCAAATAAGACACGCTCCCCTCGTACTGCCAGGAGCTAGCGTTTTGAAAATGTTGAGCATTAATAAGTGTGTGAAGAGACGGGTACGGCTACACGCTCCAGGGAGTCTGGACTAGTCAGCTGCTTAAAAGACGATCTGGCAAGGCTATTAAAATGGAAAGCATGTACCTGGCAGTTCTAATTCTGGGTAGAAACGCTCCCTCCGGTGCCCATAAAGCATATATAAAAATAACAGCATCGACCACCCTGTCTTTCATAAAACCTGAATTCTAAAAATATCTATCAATCTGGCAAAAGCTGAAGGAACGCTGGACCATTGTATGGAATAGTATACAGCAGTTAAAAGGAATGGGTAGCTCATACGTAATGCCATGTGACAGTAAGTATGATAAAAGCAGGCCTGGGGAGATGAGTCAGTTGGTAAAGGTTTGTGAGGATCTGAGTTAGATTTCCACAATCATTTTATAAAGCTGGGTTATATCTCAGTACTAGGATGATGAAGATGAGCAGATCCCTGGGGCTTATTGGCCAGCAAGCCTAACCCAATTGGTGAGCCCCAAATGTCACCAAAAATGTCACCTGTATAAAAAAGAAAACAAGGTGGACAGCTCCTCAGAAACAGCATGTAGAGTGCTCCCCTGGCCTTCATACACACGCATGTGTACATATCCCCAGACAGAAACACAGAAAGGAAAAAAAATGTGCAGGAAAAAAGGCCACAAAATTCACCTTTTAAACATACACATCAGTATCATTTATACCTATAATAATAGATATGTCAGTAAATGTATTAAAAATGGTTTGAAAAATGCTATCAGGTTTGGGGATAGTCTAGTAAGTACCTCTTTCGACTGTGAGCCACAGTAAACTCGCCTTAGTTATGTTTTTATTGCTGAGATAAGACACCAACACCAAGGCAACTTATAAAAGACCTTACCTGGGGCTCACAGTTTTAGAGGGTGAGTCCATGTTGATCATGGTGGGGAACACGGTAGCAGGCATGACATTGAAATGACAGCTGAGAGCTCACATCTTGAAATACATCCACAAGATAGAGAGAGCTAACTGGGAACAGCTGGGCTTTTGAAACCTCAAAGCCCCCCACCCTAAAGTGATACACCTCTTCAAACAAGCCCACACCTCCTAACCCACCCCACAGAATTCCACCCACTGGGTATCAAGAGCTCAAACCACCACAAAACCCTTCCTCCTTTAAATTGCTTTGTCACAGTGAGAAGAGTAAACGGGAGAGAGAACGCCCAAGGAGCTGTGTAATGGGAATCTCTGTGATCCATCCTTTCCTTACCGCAAGGAAAAAAAATGTCAGAATATTAAATAAATTCTTTTGTAAGAAACAAGAAATCAGCCGGGCGGTGGTGGTGCACGCCTTTAATCCCAGCACTTGGGAGGCAGAGGCAGGCGGATCTCTGAGTTCGAGGCCAGCCTGGTCTACAGAGTGAGTTCCAGGACAGCCAGGGCTACACAGAGAAACCCTGTCTCGAAAAAACAAAAACAAAACAACAACAAAAAAAAAAAACAAAGGAAGAGAAAAGAAAGGAGAAATCTGAAGACAAATGCAATATGTAGAGATCCCATTTTACTCTCTGTTAAGAGATCTCGTCATCATGAGGCAAAGACAGCTTTGTCACCAGTGGAAGAGCTCCTGGAGGGGACTAGTCTGTACTGGAAGGTCTATCCTGTGCTGCCAGACAGTAATGTCTGGGACAAAAGTTTCAGAGTTTCCTCTGGAAGCAACCACATCAGAGGGCTGGCCTCTTTCCAACAGCCAGCTGCTAGTCCCAGCATCTCGCGCATCCTGACTGAAGAAACAGGCGGCCAGTGTGGGAGGCCGAGGCGGGAAGATTGCTGGGAGGTCACAGTGAGTTTGAGGCCATCCTGGGCTGTAGTGTAATACCCTATTTCAAAACCAAACAAAACAGAATTAAGCAAACAAAACCAAAACCAAAATCAATGCAACAACCGGAGAGTGGGGGTGGTGGTGGGGGGGGGAGGGAGAGAGAGAACAAGCAAGAGAGGGCGACCATGAGGGGGGGCGGGAGGGAAAAAGAGAGAGACGGGAGATAGATAGATAGAAGAATCATGACAAATACGTCTTATGGCTCATTCACTATGCATCAGGCCTTATTTATCTGCGGGGCTCAGCACCCTGAATTTCCCCTAATACATTAACTACAAGAGAACAGCAGCTTTGGGGACCATTCAACAGAAGAAGCTGAGGTGTAGGGATTCAGGATCTCCATCCTAGGCAGACACTGCAATGGATGCCGCTGATCTCAAGCCCTAGCCCAGACCCCCTCAACCCCCCCTCCCCAACCACGTTAAGTAATGAGGGCTGACTTTGCTTCAATGTATCCATGTACATCAATTTTCAATTTCTTCCCAGTGAGCTAAGGGGTAAGAAAGGGCAACCACTGCTCCTGTGTGGCCCTGGCAAGTGACAGAGGATCCACCAAGTTGGAGCCACAGGGAGTACAGAACTCTCCTGCACATCACAGTGGTCAAGAGCCCAAGAGACTGGAGCCCGTTGGCTCTGCCAGGAGCAGGGGCACTGTAAGGCAGATGACACATTCCCATGGAGGCTGTCCTGCCCTGTCAGAATGCAAATGTCCTGGTTTTCTGCAGTTTTCCTTATCAACGGGGTCTGTTCATTATGCCCAGCTCCTTCACAGCTGGGTTCTAGTGATATCAGTTATCAAAGAACTGAAATTCCTCCAACTGGTGTTCCTAGGGGGTGAGGAGGGTCTTTCATGCTAGTCCTGTTTCTAACCCATCGCCAGGCAGTGGGGCAGGAACAAACAAGCAACATGGTCCAACCAGCAAGGTGGGTGTACACTTGCCTGCTGGGTGCTGAGAAATCTTAGGAAAACCAATGGTGTATGTAGCAAAGTCCTCACAAATTGAGACGCTCGGGGAAATTTAGCGAGATTGGCAGATGGGATAGATGGATTCATTTAAGTTAAAGACGATTAAGCAATTTTGGGGACATGTTTGAATGGAACATGTTGAGTTTCTCCTAGCTGCCTCCAGCTAGCTCCCAACAATGGTCCTAGTAGGACACAGGAGGTTACACAGCTAAGCCACACCTAGTACCCACACATGCTTATGTTCACCCAAGGTCCTGCATAGTCCCCTTTCCTTGGCAAGACCAGACCTCAGCTTACTATAAAACCTTCCCGATTTCCAACATGCAGAGCAGTTCTGTTTTCTTGGTGACACATTTTCTGAATGCTCTTAGCTCATTTCCACTCTCAGGGCACTGGCCCAGCCATGGAAGTCCATACCATTTTCATACTGGTATCACTGCGCATGTGCAAAGCTTCCCTGAAGCGCTAAGCATGATCCTTCTTCAACTGCAGCTCTGTGAAGACCAGGATGGATCGCCCTTGTCTCCCTGACCCTGGGCAACCAGTCCATGAGAAACAACGTTATTTAAAAAGATGCACTGGTGGAGTAATGTCAGCTACAGCGCCTGGCTCTCATCTAAGATGTCAAGGTCTGAGAACTATTTCCCAAACGACAAGTATTTAAAGTAAAGTAATTCCTTACACGCTGGCACCTTAGTTAGGTAGCAATCCATCCAAAAACTGAGAATTATCCATGTCCGATATAAGCAGGCCCACTCACACACACAACACAGCTGAAAACAAGCCTCTAGATGCTCCTTCATTGCCCCATCCTGAGGTTCATGGTGCTGAGTGCCAGGACGTTCCAGCCCCATCAGAATACAGCTCAGAATCAAGCGGTGTGGAGCAGAAGAGCTCCCAGGGACAGCAGTGGTAAGACTGGAAGGATGCTTCTCAAACAGAAAAAGTTACTGATTGCGGGGATAAGGTTGTCTTTACGGTTTAGGGAATTCCTAGTAAGCTAACAATTTTAAAGAGAAAACAGAGGTGTTATAAGGTCTCAGTTACCTGCCCCTGGGGTCAGAAGAGACATCTCAAAGCACCACGCGTCCACACTCCTGGCAGTCAGGTTGGGGTGGGGATGCGAAGTCCTCTGGCCGACCTGCACGCTCCATAGAAGTGCTGGGTCTGAGGGAGGGGCTTAGCATCACCCAAGAGCCTTGAGCTCTCTCCGTCTCTGGTGTGCACCGAGCAAAGTCTCTGCGGAGGCTCTACCAGCTGGGACACACAACGCACAGACTCAAGAACACCAGAGCCAAAATGATTTTGGAACTTTGCCTGCTATGAAGCCCGGGATGGGATGATCACTCACTCCCCTCGCCTCCACTCACCTGCTTCTCGGGGTTATGTCCATTTCCCCTTTGCTTCGGACTCCTGAAGGCATCTGCGAAGCGACCGGGTTCCAAGACTCACCGAGAGAGGAGACAGGGTGAAGTGGATGGTAGCTGGGAGGTGTACTCGCTAGAGTCCCTGCCCTGCCCTGAGAGATAGGGATGGAGGGGTGCAAGACAGCCGATTTTTTCCCCACTAAGCCTCCAGGATCCTTCCGGGACGTCGCACGGTGGGTGACTGGGACTCTGGGAGGAAGGGACTTGCAGCGAGCAAAACTTTCGGTCCTACAGCGGCTACTGGACGAAAGAGCCTTTGCTTCTTTCTGGGTCGCTCCAGTCTCGGGGTTGCTGGCTGGACAGGGTGGCGGAGCTCAGCATCCTGGCGCGCCCTGCCCCGCTGAACCCGCGGCTCACTCTGGCTCGGCTCTCAGCCTGCTGGACTCCGCGCTCTCCCCGGCCCCGCGCACTCTGCACCTCTCTGGCGCCCCCAGCGGCTGCACGCAGCACAGCAGGGCCGGGCAGGGCCGAGCGCGCCCCGCCTCCCGCCTCCTCCGCCGCCCTCCTCCCCCTCTCAGAACACTCAATGTCGGAACGTTCCGAAGATGACGTCGGAGCGTTCTCGAATCCCGTGTCTCTCGGCTGCTGCTGCCGAAGGAACAGGGAAAAAGCAACAAGAAGGAACAGCAATGGCGACACTGCACCGCAAAGTGCCCAGTCCGGAGGCGTTTCTGGGCAAACCCTGGTCCTCCTGGATCGACGCCGCCAAATTACACTGCTCCGACAGTAAGAACCCCACCGCCTGTTCCTCCTTTTATTATCCTGTAACCTTTCCATTCACCTAGAGCCACTGGGAAAAAGTGTGTGTGTGAGAGAGAGTGGCCCCCGGCGTCCTCCATGCTTCTCTCTCTCTCTCTAAATAAATACACACAGACACAGACCATCAGAGCACAGAGAGGCCCGGCTGCCAGCAAGGCTGTCTGTCTGTCTGTGCCTGGCTCTCCGGGGCAGGCAGCCCGCGGGGTGGGCTTTCGCAGCCCCACGGTGGTGTCTGTTTAAAAGACGACTCTGTTGCTGCTTGCATAGTTTTTTTTTTTTCTTTTTTTGGGGGGTACCTATCTGGGCCAGGTAGATGGAAACCTAGACTCGGGAGAAAATGTTGCATTGTCAAATTTTGCAAGATTTTCAGATACAGTATTTAGATCGATCTGTTTGTCAATAAACACTCTCCCTCCCCCCTTGACTTTGGCATCCCCCCCTTTTTTCCTCATTTTCTTTTTTCCTTTTCTTTTTCATCTGCAGATGTAGATTTAGAAGAGGCTGGAAAAGAGGGTGGCAAAAGCAGGGAGGTTATGAGGCTTAATAAAGAAGGTAAGTGGAGCTCTTGGCATGTTAGTGTTAGCTTGTGTGGCAGAGTCTTCACAGGCTTTGGAATATAATGTGAATTGTTCTGCTGGGTACAGAGTGACTAAGGCTTGTCAAAAATTGAGCACGCCCAGGTGACTACTGCTTCACTGTTAACTTCCTTTGAAGTATAAATACAACTGGGGGGGGGGCTTTCAGTCTGGGGGAGGAGGTGGAAGGCAGAAGTTTACTGCACTCCACTGGAATCCACATCGAAACCTCCTGACGGTCTCTGCCATTCTCCTTGGAGCACCATCGGGCCAATGGTAGTGGTGGTTTGAAATCCCAGAGTGAGGCCTGGGGCTCCCTTCACAAACATTCCAGCCTCCCTTGTATGTAAATTCACAAGTTTTAATGAAGCCCACATGGTCTCTCATTCCACCAGCTTCTCCACTCTCACTGAGAACCATTGCACATGGCCAGCCTGGGCTGCAAGTAACGTTTTGTTTCCGGTCACAGACTGTAGACAGTGACCGGGGCTAGGGGTATCAATGTATGAAGATCTTTAGCCTGCACTCCAACCCCCACCCCCCCACCCCAAATCTATGCTTCCCAGCATGAAAATATAACCTGAAAGGAGGACACATTGAACAGACTATGATCCCAGATCTGGGCATGTGAGTGAAGCCATAACACCAGGCCTCGGCATCACCATACACCTTTGGTTGTTGTAAATCAGTGATCCTTGTTTGCAAGCCCGCCATTTGTCACTCTGGCCTCTGGCTTCCAATGGAGCCACCGTGGAGGCCACTGTTTGCTTAAAGGATGGATTCATTTGAATTGTGATGCACTGTCTGGAGTCTTGTTATGCAGAACTGGCGGAAATTGGTGGTGGGAGGGAGACACCAAGGGGTGGAAGGAATTGATGGGAGGTGTCAAAAAAGTTCAGACTTAACTTGGCTGCAGGAGCCTTTGCTCATCCGTGGTGAGTGGAGAAAAGCCATTCGACTCTACAGCCTAGTCCACTGGCGAAAGGGGGTGTTGCCTGCCCTGTGGAGGTGGATGAAACCTGCTTGGAAAGTTGGAATTTGCGGACTGACGCCTAAGATTGCTGGTTTTCAGTGCCACGTCATTTCCTGACCGTCCAGTAAGGTGATCACTTGTGCTTCAGGAAAGAACGTGGACATTAAAACGCTTACATTTTAACTCAAGGGCTGTTCTCCGGCACTGGCACTGTGTTTCTGCTAATTAAGTACTCTGGGAACAAAAACATTATTCTAAAGATGTTTGCCTCTAAATATCTTAGCGTGATCTTGATGTGTGTGTTTAGGATGCACGGGGGAGTGGTGTCAAGTGGGCTTCTTACGAGTGGCAGCTTATTTGTGCTAAATGTCCAAGTGTGTTGGCAATGGAAAGGAATCCCCAGTGGTCGTCTCTCTTCACAGGAAGCTCTCGAGGTCTTGAACCACTTAGAGAGCTATGCTCTCAGACCACCAGCTTCGTTGCCATCTTGAAGGTGCAAAACCCAGTATGCTAAAGTTGACTTAAGTCGGTGGCATGCACGGGATTGGCACGTGGCAGGCCAGGGTGATGGGCTGGGACCATAGCTCACAAAACTCAGATCCTCCTGTCACCCCATCTATGTTAGGCCGCTGTTGTTCTCAGGTTCTCTTTGCTGCATGAGCAATGGTTTCTTCTAAGGGAGAGTGAAAAGCTCTCCTCTCAGAAGTCACAGACGCTAAGGTCTTGCTTCTTATATCCTCTATCCTGTAAAGGTACAAAGATTTGCTTCTAATTGAATGCATTTGCATAGGGGACACTCTGATTATCAGCGTCCCATGCAGTTGGCTTATAGACTTGATCTCTTTGTTGTGGGTGTCGTGGAGTGGCCTTGGGTAACAATGAGAAATGAGAAGTTCTTGAGGTCTTCCTAGTGTAGGAAATGAATGTCCCTTGGTGAGAACTTAAGGGTTGGGCTGAGGCTCTGTGTCAGAGTGTGGTCACATTGGGCCTCCTTGTTGGAGTAACCAGGCTGGAGGCCTTAAGGTGTGAAGGTATTTGTGGAGGATTATTGCAGGACACAATGTGGCCCTTGTGGAATTCAGTGCATCTGTGTTTATATGTAAATGCCTGCGGCCACGGATTAACTGAGTTCACCTGAAAAGGGGGCTGGGCATGAAAGAGGGGGGCGAGAAGAGATGAAGCCAAGACAAAGTTCTCTGATCAAGGCTCAAGGCTTTAATGTTCAACTCTCAATTTAAAGGGAAAGGCCCCTCCAAAACACATTTCTGGTTTAAGCCAGAGATGATTGTGATAATCCATTCTAGGTCACGGCCGGAGATATCTCAAGGCAAGCCCAGGGGCAGTTCTTCTAAGCACCTTGCAGCCTAGGTGGTAACTCCACCTAGATCCTATCACTTGGTCTGTTGTGGTAAACAAGGTCTTTCAGGCCTGCTCAAGGCTGGGGGAGGGCACACTTATGCACATACATGCTCAGCCATGATGCTGTTGGCTAGAGGCAGGTCTTGAGAAGAAATATGGTAATAAAAGAATAAAAGTTTAGGACTGTAGCTGAGAAATGGCAGGACACACTGTTGTGGTGCCAAGTATATAACATAAAACCTACTGCTGTAAGCTTTTCTGAGCATGTAGCCCAGTGGTATTAAGTATATTTACAGTGTCTTACAACCATCACTAATCTTCATTTCCCATCTGGTTTAAGTCTCAGCAGAAACTCGTATATATACAATGTATCATCATATGTACAATGATTTTCCCATATCCCCCTGCCCCTTAGTCCTGACATCTTCCGTTCTCTCTCTGTCTCTGGGAAGGTTCCTGTTCTAGATTCTTCACGTAAACTGACTCACATGATATTTTACCCTTGTGTGTTGAGCTTGTTTCTCTTAGCATCGTGTTTTCAGGGTTCATCCATGTTATGGCATGTATCAGTTGGTAACTTTTCAAGGTAAAGTCATGCGCCTTTGACACATCCATTGGGTATCTGGGTCGTTTCCACCTTTTGACTATCGTGAATAATGCTTTTCTGAGTGTCAATGTGATGTAATCATTTTTAGACTGAACTCAGAGAGGGAAGTTAGGCTGGAAATATGAAGTCGGAATCCTCTTGCCTCCCGAGCTTTCTCGCCACTGCTGGGGCAGATACAGCAGGCACTGGCAGACTTTTTGAGTAACCCGGAAGTCGACGTATTCCTTCTGCATCCCTTGCTCCACTCACCTTCCTTTGCTTTGTCACCTATGTTGATGAGAGACCGTTCGCTGGATGCTCTGAAGTCTCCATAAAGAATCTTCTCATCAGCTTTCTTATTTCCTCCAAAATTATACTTACCGAGAATTCAGCAGAGGCATTTGAATTGCAAACTGTTGCTAGTTCCTTTTTGGCCTGGGCTTGTGAGGGTTGCCTTAGTGCGGCTTCACTGGAAGATGAACCAGGGAAAATTGGGAGCCAGCTTTGCACTTAGGTCCTAGGGAGAGGATGGCTCACTTCTGGGCTGATTCTATAGATGCTAAGCAAGGGGTTTGGGACTAACTGCCCTCTGTAGTCACTTTGAGACTTCTGCACCCAGGTTTCCCTAGTGAATGTTCCAATCTTTAAAATATCACCATGCAGAACAACCTGCCTCTAAAGAAACTTCAAAACAAAACACTCCTCGAGTTTAAAACAAGCAAGCAAACAAAAAACCTTAAATGACTTCAGAAGTACTGAGAATCACAGGATATGATCACAGGATTTTCTCAGTTTTTAAAAAAGATCAACTCAATGCTGATATAAACAAAACAAAACAAACAAAACCAAACAACCCCCCACCCCAACCCCGACCCCGACTGTGTAGTCTGCTTTCTAGAAACAGTTGTGAATAGTTTGGGACCTTCAGGACCTGAGTCCAGACCACAGCAGAAGAGAGGGGCTAAGGCCAGATCTTAGCAGACAAGAGGGAGAGGGTCTCAGTCCAGACTCCAGAGAAGCTGAAGCTTCTCCCCATGAAGAACACTATGGCCTCAGTTTGGTCTGAGAAGCCATAGCTTTCCTCAGAGGAGCTTCTAAGGAACCTTGCTGGCTCAATCTTCATGAGAACTATGCTAACTGATAGAAAATTTCAAGGAAGGCCATTTTCTTATATTTTTGGTTGTGAGCCTAGCCTTTATTGGCTGAGCCATCTCTCCAGCCTGGAAGGCCATCTTCTATGCTAACCCTGTATATCACACTATTCTACCCAGCCTGGTAGGTGTGGCCTGAAGACTTTTCCCAAGTGAAAGTCTCACTCAGTTGGGAAAGATGTTTTCATTACTAAGGGTCTCAACCAAACTTTAAAGGAAACAAAACTAACTTGTAGACAAAGAACGGGGTCCATGTGGCTCAGAAGTGCCCTTAACTATGAAACACGTTATGAGGGCTGCTAGGAAACAAGACAGAGATAAGAGGAGAGAGCTCAGTGTATCATAAGAGCTGACTGCATGCCTGCTTTTATTCCTTTTTATTGTTATGAATATTACCATCATTTATTACTGATACTAGTTCCGCAAAACTAGGTATTAGTTTAATTACCATGAATTTTTAAGTCATCTGTGGTTAAAAAAAAGACATATTGTATGAAGAACTTTAATTTTAGAGTAAAGTGCGTTATAATTTTATAAAGCTTAATGATTAAAAACAATTTCTGTGGACATAGAGCATTTCATACACTGCAGGTAAGAGGTGGGTTTTGTCAAAGGCAAGAGAAAAATACTTAGGCAGTTCATGGCTTCTGAACATGAAGAGGTTTTTCTTTTTTTTTTCCTTTCCCTTTCTGATGACTTCGGAGGTCTACAAAAATACATTTCAAATGATAAGTTGTTTCATTTTATCATGGAGAAAAGTAAGTTCTCCAAGGACCTTTTCTGGGGCCTTTTGGACTTAGGCAGTAGGCTGTGTTCCAAGGTTCCCAGTATTTCCCTTGGTGGAGGTAAATGTGAAATGCATGCGGTTGCAGAGAGAGCTGGAACAGGGAAAGCTTGCTCCGGAGACA